AAATGACCTTAGGTCATCGCATGACCTTGAGAGGTCAAATGGGTGTTGGGAAAGTAAGATTAGATGCTGGCGAGTCGATTGGTGCCATTTTTAGCGCTCTAGCTCTACTGGGTGGCCCACAATCTGCTATGCAAATTTGGGCCACGTGACCTTTGCTGACCTCTGTAGGTCAAACGGCTGGGAGTGCCGCCGAATGACTCGGACTGTGGATTGGACATTTCAGGACAGACATTGTGTACCTACGAATTTCAGCTTGATCGGAGGTGTTCCGAATCTGGGCTGAATATGGGCCGTCTTGATCATTATGATCAACATCGTTGCCTAACGGCTTTTAACCCGCGCCCGGCTGGGGGTCCTGGATTTCCACGCCCTGCTGGGGGGGGGGGGGGTGTTTGAACACCCCCCCCCCTTGTAACTCGGCTCCTGGGCCACGTAGCGATACGCGAAAGGCGGCGTTCGAAAGAGCGTCAAAAATAATGACGAAATCACTTCGGTCAATTTTTTGGTCAGGTCAAAGGTCAGGTCACCAGAGGTCATTGAAGGCAAAATTTCGCCGATTTCCAGGTCGAATGTCGAAAATTTCCAAGAAGCCAACGCATAACTCGGGAACCAATAGAGCTACAGCGCCACAGAAAAGCGCATTCGATAGCCCTATTCGCGCCCTTTCTGAGTGATTCTCTCAGATTTGACCACCTAACGTCAACGGTTTTGCCTGCAGGGGGCAAAAACTGCAAAAATAGCCGATTTTTTTGGAAACAGTTTTTCTGCAATTACTTTTAACCCAAGCCTTGTACGAGCTTACTTTCACCGGCATCGTGTTCCTCTCGTCAAGACGCATCAAATGAACTATAACTTGACCTTGAAAGGTCAACTTGAAAATTTGACCTCAGTTCAAGGTCATGACCTGACCGGAAAGGGTCATGTTGCATATCAGTCGATCCGTATCGTCGAGCTGAACACATCTAAGGCGTTTTCATCGCTCTAGCATGCCTGTATCAAAAGTTATTTGCGAAAAACTGTTAGATACCATTCGTGACCTAAGATGACCTCAGGGCATAAACAAGGGTCACGGACACCATTTTCATGTTCAGTGTGTCTAAACCACTTGTAATTGGGTGTTTGGGAGTGTTTATAATGTCTTTCGTCCAAAAGAGGCGCATTTCAATTTTCTCCCATTGACTTACCTATAATGGGGAGGTCGCAAAATTGACCTGACCTTAGGTCATCGACATCAAAATTCTGAGATATACATTTTGTACATGCTATTGCTCTTAGCAATCGCTGAAAGTTTCAAAGCGATCGGTCACTCGGTGTAGCTATGACAGACATTGAAACTTTTATGAGGTGAGGTCACTTCAAGTGACCTGGTGACCTGACCTTGAATGACCTTGGTCTGAAATTTTCACATGTGTAGAATTGATGTATGATAAGGTGTACCAAAAACGCCGGCGCTCCGCGCCGCCGTTTTTGAGATATTCACGAAAAACCACAAGGGTGTCCCCCCCAGCAGGGCGCGGGTTAACCCTCGCCGGCACAGGGGGGGGGGGGGTGATGCACCCCCCTAAGGTTTTTCGCGAATAACTCCCGTAAAAAGCGGCCGATCGCGACGAAACTTTCAGTACCCTGGCATTGATCAATTTTACACGTTCCCTGAAAATTTCATGACCTTGACCCCAATGACCTTTGACCTGTGACCTCTTTTCCGTGACCATGTTTGGCCGAAATCGCGATTCGGCGTATGTCGGCTCGCATTAGCCGCGCGTTTGCAAGCTTTTCGTGGTTTCAAACGTTCAAACATGTGATTTGATGTTGCTCCCATACATTAGGGTGGGTGTCAAGGTCACCTGAAGGTCAGGTCAGGTCATTGACCTTTGGTGACCTCGGTTCACTTTTTCGAGTTTTACATGTTTCTAGGCTAGTTTTTGGAGCTGAATTCGAATTTAGCAGCCATTTGAACATTTACGAAGTAGTTTTGGTACCTTCGTAACATGTTACGAAGCTGTCAGAGGCGGTTGACACGTATTACGAATACCCGTCACAACCCCTACCGGTTGACCTGACCTGACCTGACCCGACCTGGTCTAAATGCTTAAAAACATCATCTCTGATCAAAACTAACACGATATTCGTGATCAGCACCCCGGAAAACCACATAGCAGCCACACTTAACGACTTTCTAACAGGTCCCGATTTTCCCGGTTTTCGGGTCATTGACCTGGGAAGGTCACCCGATGACCTAGGACCTTAACCTTCGCCCCAGTGGGGGGGGCATATGTTACCACCCTGTCGCGTTTTTTGCGTGTGAATAAAAAACCGCGGCGCTTAGCGCCGCGCCGCTTGGGGTAGGTTTTGGTACATCAATTTTGGACAATGTGTGAAATTTTTGACCCCAGGTCATGTCAGGTCAGGTCACCAGGTCAAGTTAACTGACCAAGCCTAAAAAAGTTTGCAATCATGTCCAGCCTGCAGTGTTTGTCAGAAAGGTTTTAAACTTGTAGGATTGCATGCTGTTATGGGCGCCTACAATTTGTATATCTCGGATTTTTTATATCCGTGACCTAAGGTCAGGTCAGTGGCGTGACCTTACCATTACAAGTCAATGGAGAAAAATGAAAAAGCCTCTAGATCCGTGTGTACGCATCGGAACAGTCCAAATATTTCAGACTCAATGATTTAGTCCACTCGTGATCACTTTAGTCCACAGGTCATCCGAGGTCACTTGAGGCTACAAACAGTTTTTTGCCAATAACTCGCGATTGGAACGAGATAGAACGCTGGGGATGGTCTCATTGTGTTTGTCTTGTTGAGACGCATCGACTGATATGTAACATGACCTTTTCCGGTCAGGTCATGACCTTGACCTGAGGTCAAATTTTCAAGTTGACCTTTCAAGGTCAAATTATAGTTCATTCGACGCGTCTCGGCGAGAGGAACACGATTCTGGCAATAGAAATGTAGTGGCTTTTTGCAGTCGAAAGTTATTGTCGAAAAACGCTTTTCGTAAAAACAGCTATTTTTGGAGTTTTTGCCCTCTGGAGGCTAAACCGTTGACATGAGGTCAATATTGATTATGACCTTTTCAAAAGAAGAGTTCACAAGCTATCGTTTGCTGTTCCATGCGTTTTTCTAGCTACCATAGTTCCTGAGATAGCGGCATGTTTTCTGAAAAATATAATGACAATTGGCAAATTTTGACCTTTGATGACCTCTGGTGACCCCAATATTGCTCTAAGGTGAAAAGTGACCGAAATACTTTCAAACGTACGCATTGAGAGCTATCAACTGCTTTTTACCGCGTCTTTCTAGCCCTCTTAGTTTTTGAGTTAGAGGTGGGTGGTAACATATGCCCCCCCCTCACTAGGGCGAAGTTGGCTGAGACCGCCACTGGGGCGCGGGTTAAAATTGGGTATCATCGGCTTCCTCTCGTGACGGGCAACATGCTCGTTTTTTCCGCGAAGCTCTAGCTCGATCAGGGGCCAAACGCGAGGGGGGGTCGTACAAACCCCCCCCCCCTTGTGCCGTCGAAGGACGCAAAATGGCCTGTGCCGGCGAGGGTTAAATCTGTTGAGTGTTGATGCAGTGTGCTCACTAACGGCGAACGCCGAATCCGAGAAATAGGTAGCTGGTTAGCACTAAAACGCCGACATCGCAGCCACCAGCGGGCGTTGTCTGCTGACACTGACCCACATAGCTCCTGCCACTGCCAATGTCAGGCACGCACATGGTTCCCGGCAACAACGACCTTGACATCCGCATAGCACATCGGAAATGACTCGCTACCGGTGGCTCTGTATAAAGCGTGATGCGGAGTTGAGTTCCGCTTCCCGATCCGTGCGGAGTGAATAGAGTGGATGCTGAGACCGGGAGTGATACACTGTACACAATGTTTACTAACTTCCGTGTTATCCTGACAAATTTCACGAACCCAAAGCCGGTTGAAATGACATCTCAGTATCCCTAAGCGTGTTCATACCAATGCAATGATTTGGGTTTGGGTTAGTGAAATTTGCCGGATTTTTTTTTTTTTTTTTAATAATGTAACAGCGAGAGCCTAATAGGCGGGGCAGTGTGCCGTTGAAGTCACGGCGGTAGACCATTTTGACCCCATGATCATGTGATGTCCAGTTGATGTTTCGTCTTAGATGTTGGTGCCGCTGTTAAAATGTGTGCCAACTCTCCAGAAAAGTGCCAACTCTTCAGAGAATATGCACGATATGACTGAGACCAAAGAGTGCGGATCATGAAATGCCTGGCATATAATTCATCTTCATAAATAATAAATATACGAATATCACAGCTCATTGTAAACCATTTGTAGAAAAACCTACTGTGTAGAAAATCCCAGTATCACAGCAGCTCTAACCGTCCCACCCACCCTGTTCAGGTACCCATATCACAACCTTCCCTTGGTCTCCCACTCTCATCCGTTCCTCTCCCTCTCAAAGAGCTGGCGCTGGTCTCGCGCTGTCCGTCCAGGCCACACCCCTTCACACCACACCGCCGCACCCTGCGGAGCAGTGACGCTGGCATTCTTACCACCCGCGGCCGGAGCCTGTATCGGCTCACCGGCGGGACTTGGTGTGGGCCCCGCGAGCCGACACCGACACATGACACAACGCTACAGGCTGATATCTTGGCCAAGGAAGGAGCATGACTTGATGTCCTGGTGAAATTAGACGTCTGGGCAGCTGTTCGTAAAGAACGCGCTGGAAAAATATTTACAGAACAAACTGAAAGCCAAACCAGAGTCGGAAGCTTTCCAATTGTCTTTCTCCGACGAAATTTTCGATCAGCTGTCCTTGACTGACTATATAAATTTAGTGCCAGCTGCCGTGCTGAGCCATCCTCCGGACCAGTCCCACTCAGACCAGTCTGGCGCTCGGCTCAGCACGGCAGCAGAGGTAAGCAGCGGTGGCCTTCCCGTGTCGGTGCGGCGCGCGGGGCCCCTGGTGGTAAGGTGTGCCCATCGGGACGCGCGCGGGCGCGGCGCCGCGTATCACTGCGCCCAGTCTGTGTGTATTTGTACGTCAGGCAGGGCACAGTGGCGCGGGGCACGGTTTTAGAAGAAGAAGCCGAGGATCTTGCCGCCGAGATGTTTCCGCCGGGCCTCGTCGTGGTCCATGATACCGCCCGATGTGGTCATCACGATGTAACTGAGAAGGGAGACGCAGACACGGGTCAGCCTACAGGGCAGCGCTATCGTGCGGGACGGGTCAGTGACACGAATGGGATGGAAGATCAATAGCCACTAGCCAGCCTGTTAGTGGAACTGAAACTGAAAACGAGACTAGCCACGGTACTGCGTTTACCATTCAAGTTATTTCAACGATCAAACTTCAGTATCTCGCCCAATTGATCAGAAACAAAATAAATTCGTAGATGAAATGAATTGAAATGCATTAGCCAGCAAATTACCATTATCATTAACAGAATAAATCGACTCCAGAAAACAAGCTTTACGATTTAAGTAGAGGACCGAATATTGGTAGAACCATTAATACTTAATTTGAGCAAGCGACTGTCATGTAATCCGCACGTAGCCCCGCCACTCTCCCTGCCGCCGTCCCAGGACGCTCACCCAAACTGTCTGGAGGGCAGCAGGTTGTTACACCACTTCTCCATGTCGGTCAGCTTGATGTCGAACCGGGGGGAGATGACTCCGCACTTGTTCAGCCGACCCGTCAGGTTCACCACGATCTTGCCGGCGCGGTGGTCGTCAATGATCTCGAACTCACCGATGTAGCCTGAGGGCGAACAGGGGTAGGTTGATATTCGCCCGAAAGGAGCATAGGCGTAGGAAGGGGGGGGGGAGACATGGTCCCATACTTTTCGACCATTTTTAAAAGTAAAATGTTTATTCTTTATTTAAATACAAAACTAAGAGCAGAAAATGGTTCGACAAGGTGATATGAGCACAAAACTGCAAATAATTTCTTCATAGGGGCATTGGGGTTGCCACAAAGTGACATTGAAGTTTCGCTGCCCCCCCCCCCACTTTTCGTGAGGTTCCTGCGCCCATGGAAAGGAGGCTGATCAAACAATAACATTTGCGGTCTATAAGTCCACATTGCCTTTTCAAGATAGGCTTCCCTGACGCTAACAGACGCAGATCACAAACGCTAACAGACTGCAAGCAAATTAGCAATTTTCAAGCGTACAATGCCGATGGGCACGGAACTTCCGTCATCCACAAATCACTGGGAGGGCAACTAAAACAATGAGTCATCGATGGCCACTTGATCAGATCAAGGCTTTAAGGACGGAACACGTCAGAAATCCTGTGAAACAAGGTACACAACAGTAAAAACAACAACTTAACAATGACCGGGAGCAAACAAATAACCTCAGCCAGTGGCCAGCTAACTACCAACCCAGTACCGTGCCCTTCGCCACTCACCGTGCTTCATCATCACGGTGAGGAAGCGGACCACCACCTTGGAGCAGGGCCGCAGCAGCACCTGGCGCTTGCCGCGGCGCTCGGCATTGTTGATGGCGTTTAGCGCGTCTGCGAGGGCGTTCATGCGCACCATGATGGCGGCAGGAGGTTATCTGGAAAAGAGGGGGACTATGTGTCAGGGAGGGTGCACATATGATAGGTACAGCCCACCGCTAAAGTGATGTGCGGTTTTACCAATCTCAACGGATGGCTTTGCCTGGCGATTTTTTTTTTTTAATGCGGAGTGATCGAAATGAAGACGTCAATAGATAAACTTAGATTCAGATAAATGCAATGACCTTGACATTTGACAAAGCTTGCTGCAATTTTGAGGCACGCATTCAGTCAATACTGCATCTCAATTTGAATAACGCTAAGATGGACATAATATTCCGGGTTGGAGTTAGTCAGACAATTTAAGAAACTTGTGAGATCACTCGCACCAATCACCGTGCGCTCAGCTATTTACACTAGTGTAACGCCTGTTAGACGTGTCTGGACAAAATTCCATAAATTTTTTCGTTCCACCATTTTTTCGTCGGACTGTTTTTCCTCGGACAGTACATTTCTTCGTCTGTACATTTTTTGTCCGGACATTTTTCCGTCAAAATATTTTTGTCCGGACATTTGTTCGTCCAATACATTTTACGTCTATGCACCCCCAATGTGACAACTCCACTCCAAAGTTGAGTGAAAACATACTACGATGCTATTAAACTGAGGCAAGTGACATTCAGGGGCGGATCCAGGAAAACTCCAAGGGGAGGGCCATGAATCGAAGTGGTGCCCCCACCTATACCCAAAATTAAAAACTAATCGGATTTCGGCCACTTCCTTTTGGTGGTGCCCTATTTTCAGTTTTTTTTTGTTTTTTTGTTTTATATTATTTATTTTGTGTGTGTTGCCCCTGGCGGGCCTGTGGTGCCCCTGCTAAGCCGCACGTGCCCCTGACAGGTTTGTGGTGCCCCTGGAAGGACTGTGGTGTCCCTGACAGGCTTGTGGTGCCTCTGGAAGGACTGTGGTGCCCCTGGGCCCTAACAAGCCTGAGGTGCCCCTGACAGGCCCGTGGTGCCCTTGCTAGGCCTGTGGTGCCCCTGACAGGCTCAAGGTGCCCCTGCGAGGCCGGTGGTGCCCCTGACAGGCCTGTGAAGCCCCTGCAAGGCCTCTGGTGTCCCTGACAGGCCTGTGGTGCCCCTGGAAAGACTGGGTGCCCTTGGGCCCTGACAAGCCTGAGGTGCCCCTGCGAGGCCCGTGGTGCCCCCGACAGGCCCGTGGTACCCTTGCTAGGCCTGTGGTGCCCCTGCTAGGCCACTGCTGCCCCTGGGCCCCGACAGGACTGTGGTGCCCTTGGCAAGCCTGAAGTGCACCCACAGGCCCGTGGTGCCCCTGACAGGCCCAAGGTGCCCCTGCGAGGCCGGTGGTGCCCCTGGCAGGCCTCTGGTGCCCCGGGCAGGTCTGTGGTGGCTCTGGCAGACCTGTGGTGCTTTTGCTAGGCCGATGGTGCTCCTGACAGGCCTGTGGTGCCCCTGACAGGTCCGTGGTGCCCCTGGCGGGCCTGTGGTGCCCCTGGCGGGCCTGTGGTGCCCCCGAGCCCCAAGGAGGGGGTCATGACCCATGTGACCCCCCCTTGGATCCGCCACTGAGTGACATCGTAATACTCGGGGCGAAACAGCGCAGTGCCAAAGGCAATGCCTTAGGAGAGATTACAGGGAATGGTAAGTCAAATATTTTTAGGTTATGTGGTTGTGCATCGGCTTCAGACCGAAGCCTGATGCCTTCTGGAAAGTGTTCTCTGGGGGAGCAATTTTTTCCACTGTATCAAGATACATGACCATTTGACCAATGCATAATGTGCTAATGAAAAGTTCAAGCTGTTTAGAAAAACTGGCGAAGATTATCCTATAGGCCAAGCTGCACCAAGTTGTTAAGCTGTGTTTTGTCCTGGTTTCTCAGCTCACAGAATTTCCTTAATATTGGTTTCAAAGGTATCCATATTTTCTGTTAACTGTCATTTGCTGGTATAACTAGGCCTGGCGTCCCAGGAAGATGCCAGATACCGTTGTACGTTGTAGTACCTACTAGTAGGTTTCTTGGGTGACTTGTAAGTTTGTAGATTTGTAGGTTGTAAGTAAGGTAAGGTCAGGTCAGGTAAAGGTTAGGTCTGTTTTGGTCTATACATCTTGGTCATCCCAATCTGGCATCTTCCTGGGATGCCAGGCTTACATCCATTTGGTTACCTATCCATGAAAACTAGCAAGCATATGCTGGTAAATGGCAGCTGTTTTTTCTTTGAAATACAGGTACCGTAAAACGGGGTGTTAACCCGCGCGGGGCTGGGGTCTCCAGCCGAACGCGCGGGGCTGGGGGGGTAAATTTTACCCCCCCTGTTATCTCCCGAACTAATGGTCCGATTTGGAAAATTCAAACGCCAATCGAAAGCTCTCATCACGAACTACTAAAAACATGTACTAAATTTAAAGTTTGAGGTCAAGGTCAAGGTCAGGTCAAGGGTACAAATTGCAAGTTTCTACAGTATCGGCCTTGCACCGTAGTTGCCGAAGAATGGAGTCATGGACTGAGACTGATCGCCCAAAACGTGTTCTTAGGCTACCAAGACAATATTCGTTGCATACAATATCATTCAGAGGTCAAGGTCAAGGTCAGGTCAGGTCAGGTCAGGTCACCAAAAAACAAAATATAGAAGAGGGCATGTGCGACACATGTTTTATGGGTCATTTTACTCATAGAATTCAATAGGCACACTCAATAAGTGATATGGACCACCTCTGGATGAATTTCAGGTCGAGGTCAGGTCAAGGTCAGGTCAAGTGAGGTCAAATTTTGAAGTTGGTTGTTAAGGCCTAAAAAGGTGTCTATCTGATGCAGTTTTTCACGGCAAATCGAATGGTGCTATTTTTGTTTCCGTACGAGGTCTAGAACTTCCAAAAAATGCATTTTTCAAAAAAATTTGTGTGTCGTGACGTCATAAAATTTTGAATAACTCCCACATTTTTGAACCGATTCTTCTAAAATTTGGTATGTAGGTGCACATAGACCACTTCTCTGACATATATTCCGGTTTTTTCGATAGTTTCAAAATTTTGGATTTTATAATGATTTTCCCAAAAAAGTCAGTTTTTTGAAAAAAATTTAGGCCAAAATCCAAAATTTTCAAAAAACCGAGATAGCCATTTGATAGACAAAGTAAAATTACGTATAACCTTTTTTGTTACGTCTTGATTCCTTTAAAAATGAAGATGTTAGCGGCGTTTGAACTTTTGCCGTTTTTGAGGCGAAAATGGCGAACATGACGTCACTAAAACGTCAATTTCTCAAAAATTTTCCGACGGATTTCGCTCAAATTTTCAGGGAACGTGTCAAATTGATGTAAGAAAAGGTACTGAAAGTTTGGCGGCGCTGCGCGCCGCCGTTTTTGAGATATCGCAAAAATTCGCGAGGGGGGGTAAAATTTACCCCCCCCAGCCCCGCGCGGGTTAAGGGACAGTTTTGAGGTGTTTTGTTATATAACTCAAGAAGGGTTGGAGATAGAAGCATCAAATTGTCGGCATTTTATGTGGAATTTGATGCTTTACATGCCTGCCACATTAAAGTTTTTAAGATTTATACCTGCATATTATTTTTTATTATTTTTCATCACTGTCCCTTAGCACCCCAATGTGGGGTGTTAAGGGACACCTATATTATTCCAAGAAATGGTCATCAAATGCCCACAATTGGGGTGTGGAAGGGCACACAATTTATTTATTGAAATGTTTTGCATATTCTGTCACAAAACAAGTCAGGTTCATTCACCACTAATGACCTTTTTAGCCAATTACGTGTAATGCAGTTTACGCTAGTGGAAAATGTGCTAATTATAAGGTAAACATAACCAAAAAGTAATCTTCTGTCATAAATAAAAACCAGGGTTGGCAGAGGGTGGCAAAAACTGGTTGTTGCCAGTGGTTTTAACCGGTTTAAACCGGCTGGCAGAAACCATGGTGGCAAAAACTGGCAGAAACTGGCAAAAACTCAAGTAGCCAAAACTGCGTTGTTTGCCTAAAAAGCAATCGGTTGAAATGTACAAAGTCATGTCTGTCATTGGGACCCAGTAAGCATTGTCTCGCTAGTTTACCGCTGCTTAAAATGTCTGTCGGTAGTCAATAGATGTCCACCGGGAAGTGCACTTTCATGCATCGCTGTTGGTGTGCTTCTGCACATGAGCATATGCAGGAGTCGTTTCCGACCAGACCTCGAGAATGGCTGGGTCGATTGCGCTCAAATTGGGACACCGTTAGGGACTGATTAGTAGGGTGTCGTGCATAGTCGGTCGGGGTCCATTTTGCACGTGCGCACGTGCGGGGTGACGCTTCCAGATTGGGAGAACGGCTACGTCGACTAAGCACAAATTTGGCACTGACACTGTTAGGAACCGGTTCGTAGGGTCCGGTGCACAAGTCAGTGGCAGATGCCCTTTCCCACTTCTTCAATACTCGCCGCCCGCCGGCGCACTTTCTCATTTGTCTCACCAAAAAGGCGCCTTATTGGTTAATTATAGAGGACTCACGGAACTATTTAACACTAAAATGGTCAAGATACCACTTCTGTTTGAAAGCATATTGTATTGACTGAATCCTACTTTAAACGTGTCCTGCTCAAACGCATGTAGAGGCATAGCGTTTTGACTGTTTTAGTTTTTGCCAGTTTTTGCCACTTTATGCCGGTTAAAACCGGTTTAAACCGGCAAATGGCAAAAACTAGTTTTTGCCGGCAAAAATGCCAACCCTGATAAAAACCCATGTTGAAGCTAGTCACTTGTCATTATGTTGCCCTCTTTGTTTTAGCCTTTTTATGATGACATCACATATACCTACATCAGTCTCCATTGACCCATCATTGTAAAAGAGAGTGTTGAGATGATTTGTTACATAACTTAAGATGTGTTAGAGATAAAAGCATGAGCTTGCCAGCATTTTATGTGGAAGTTGGTGTTTTCCATGCCTACTGAAATAAAACTTAATGAAATTATATTTAGATATTATTTTTTATTTTTTATTCCCTGTCCCTTAGCACCCCACATCCATCTCAAAATATGCATGTATCCGGAAAAGAGGAAGAGGATGATGAGTGAATGGGTGGATT